TTTTTTTTCCTTTTTAGCTCTATATATCACTGTCTTTTGATTTATTTAAAAAATGATAACTCAAATTCAAAAACCAACGAACTGTGCTTACATGCTCGATAACACGTAAATAACATGAAGAAATGCTACGGTCCCTGTACGGAATAGGATTGTTTACCTTTTAAATCATCATGTAACTGTCGAAGATAGTTGATCTAACGGTTACAAATCCCGACATAATAGTTCTGTAACGGGACCGTAGTATCTCTCAATAACATGACATAGCATTTGACGAGTCGATTAACATGCAAAACAAGACGTAAATAACATGACATAGCATTTGACGAGTCCAATAACATGCAAATAACATGACATTTTAACTTCTGTTCAATATATCATAACCTTTTGTGTAGTTGCTCAACACATGAATTTGGTGCACTGAATATCCTCAAAGAAAGGCAAAGTTTCAATTCACTCGTTCAAAAGGGTATATGGTATTTTGGCTGCAAAAGTTTACCAAGATGAAAATTATTGCAATGTGAAACTGTTTTTTGTTAGCTATTGTTACAAATGGCTGCACGAGAGTTAGGCGCTTAGGCCGCTACTTAGCAATGTGTTGATCTCTCCAATTATATTCACCGGTCTCCCGTCAAAAAGTTTCGAAAGTGTGCTCTCACAAAGTTTCTTCAACTCCCGGGACTTTACAAGAGCCGCTTCCTGCAAAATAAATAAATAAATATCGGTATAGCTCGGCTGACAAGAATAGTATACTAATATTTTAACTCGTTATATTAAGATATTGGTATATTTTTTTTTAAAAAATGATCAGTTCAATTTAATTACGAAACTGATAGTCTTCTTGAAACAGCCGTTTTAAGTTCTACTGTTTTGGAAAAAAAAAACAAACGTTTTAAGACGAGCAAACCTGTTTAGGCCATGACGAAGATAACGAGTTTTGCAGCTCCAGGCGCTTAGTATAGAGATCTTTCAGCCCATCCTTTAACTTCATCTCGTGATGTTTCTTTTCCTCCAGTGTACTTACCAAACGATCCAAAAATCTGAAAATTTGGAAAATTGGAACGCATTTGGGCATTGTAAGATATACCATTTTTTAAGCAAAATTAATTTGGTTATAAAAAGAACAAAAAAAAAAAAAGAGCAGGCTATGTAAAATTTTATCTCAACATCAATTTTTCTTCCGCCCCCCAACAAAAACAGAATCACACGATACTAGGAAACAAGTACGAGAGCTAAACAGATGTTCAAAGGCAGGTTAACAATACCTTCTGGAATTAAGTATCATGATCAGGTCCCTAGTTTTCCTATTGGTTAATTTTGAGATGGCTCGAGAAATATCAGACAGCATTACTTGAATTGCTTCTGGAGTGTACTGCTGGAGCACAAAGGGAGCTACAGCTTGGACTTGATGTTGTAGTGATAAGGTTTCTTCATTAGTCAATTCGAGTAATCGTTGGTTCAGAAACGCTTTCGCCTGGATTTACAGTGGAAAAAGTCAAAGACGAAACACCAAAATAATCCAAAGACTAACAGAACAATAATAACAGATTCGTGACTCAGCCACATCAGCAAAACACACACACACACACACACACAAAATAAAGTAAACTGATTTAAACCTCAAATAAGTCGTCTAGAAGCTTATTCCTGTACTCTGTCTCCATAAGCTCACTCCTTTCTTGATTATCCCCAGATGCCTCAATTTTAGTATAATCATAGTTTAATCCAGATTCTATATGAGTGCTCGATAAGTCTGCTTCATCAACCTTAACGATCTGCGGATTCTCCACGTTTACATCCCAAGAAATCTCTGAAATGGAGACCTCCTGACTTTCAGAGCCCTGATGAGCCTCGACACCAGCTTTGGGAGGAGAATCGGGCAATATATCACTAGCATTGACAATTTCATATGGGCCCAATCCATTTCCATTATCATCTGTCTCAATAGTGCCAATATCCCAATCAATTTGAGAGCTGTCCAATGTAATATCCCAGTCAATGCTTTCGGCTGCAGTATCTGCTGCCCCAGCTATGAGAGATTGCTCGTCAAGGTAATGTTGAGCACCGACAGAACCAGAAATTTCGGGACCTGCAGAAACGTGAAGAGAAGGGGGCTTTTCTCGAACATGAACCAAATTACGCAAAATGGGGCTGGGAATTTTCTGTAGTCACCAAAAAAAAATGTCTTGAGAAAGGGAATGGGAGTGAAATTCGATGATAAATTCGGGAAGTTTCTTACATCCTTATTATCTGTGTGAGCCTCTTTGACAAACATGGAATAGAATTCAATGGTCTTTGAAACAGAGTCACTGTTCAATGTTTCCAATATCTCACTGAAAGTGCTTGGAAGAGTTACTATGGCTGCTTCTAACAACTCTGACCGGACATTAATGCCCTGCAAAGTCCAGACTCCATTGTTGTAGAAAAAAAGAGCAAGGTCACAAGGAAAAAATAATTAATTGTGAAAAAAAATATAGTGTGTAAAGAGAGGTAAAAGCAAAACCTGCAATCCTAGCTCCCGGCAGGCTTCTGCATACTTTGTGGCTGAAAGAGCCGCATTTCTTTTTATATCAGCTTCCTTTTTCTCTAACTCT